AGGATATTTCGAGGTGTTGGTTTGAAACCCAGGCCTGCGTAAAGGGCCTGTTGCAGATTATTCCCACCAGCAGAACGTGCACCTGATCGATGTTTAAATTCCGGATATAAATGCATTAAACCATTAATCCCCATGTGCATCACACACATCCACCGTGGAGCTGAATTCAACAAATATCGCTGCACTGTCCTGGAAACCTGACAGGCGGGTTTTTTTTTTTTTTTTTTTTGCGTCGAGGCGCATCTGAGCTCCTTTACACGCGATTTCACTCGATCGCCTCGGTGGAGGATTAAACCGAGTNGGGGGGGGCAACTCCCCGTCAGTCTGAGGCTGCGGCTTCAGTCCGAACGCTGCCCTCTGATTGGTCCGTCCTCCTCCGTCCACAGTGTTTTTTTTTTTTTTTTTTTTTTTGCGTCGAGGCGCATCTGAGCTCCTTTACACGCGATTTCACTCGATCGCCTCGGTGGAGGATTAAACCGAGTGATTGTGCAGAATAGACAGAGCTGGTGTAAAGGGACGTACCTGAGGATGTTCGGATCAGTCCAGAGTATGTGGTGTAGCCGAGCAGGATGTAGATAACATTGTTTGAAGGAGGGAGCGGATGGAGGATGACCGTGAAGAGAGCAGCGCCTGGCGGCTCTCAGCGTGCAGCTACCGGGAGGAGACGGGCACCGAGTGACGGCAAATCAGCGAACGCGACGCGGTTCCTTCCTGCTGCTGCATGCATCTCTTTCAACCAATGAGAGTAGCCGCCCCGTCGGTGAGCCCGCCCTCCTCTCTCAACACAAATTCTTCCACTGCCTCATTACTGCAAGACACTCATTCTCCCATGAGGCATTTCTGTCACATCAGGCCTCTGGGTCTCCAGTCCCAGTCTGCTGATAGTTTGACAACCTGGTTAATCTCATGGGTGGAAAACTAGTGTGTCCCTGTTCTGCCACTGCTGACCCCAGTTCAGTTCATAAGTCACATAATGTGAGTTGTTATGCTATATATTGTTGTCTATATGGTATAGGCTGCAGAGGTCACAGGGTTATTGCATGTAAGCTCCTGTTCCAGTGTTAAACACTGAGCCAGAAATATCTCTTAGGCGTTGGCAGAGACCAAAACGGAGGTGGAAGGAGAGTGTTGGACTATTATTATTCATGTGACTATAAACACAGCTCTAGATGAATCCTTATATTGCTCAATGTCTGAATGTGTTTATTGTTCAGTAACATATTCAACATTTATAAAGGTATTAATAAGTATGTGTGTTCAATTTCTCTCACAGACCTGAAAGGTCCAGTGGGTAAGATTTAGGTGAAAGGGGACTATTGGCAGAAATTTATTGTAGAATAATCCTTGTGATGTTTTCACTAGTTCTTTTCATCTAAATTGTATGAATTGTAGTATTCTTTACCCCAGAAAAGGCCCTTTATATTTGCATCGAGGGGACCCTCTCTACGGAGGCTGCCATGTTTTTTACATTAGTAAGTACATTAATAAGTGGCTGAAAATGTTATTGATCTAGGATCCTGTCTATTATTTATGTATCATTTGTCCAGAGCTGGACTCAATGTGGGCGGCCATCTGCCTCGACCGGTTTGGGTTAGCAGAGAAAAATGGGGAGGAGACTAGAGGGGGGTGGAAAAGAGGAGAGAGAAAAGACAGAGAGATGGGGGGAGGGGGAGAGAGACGGAACAGCTAGTGACAGACTAGTTGTTGTAATTAAAATAACAACAGTGATAATTATGGATATTGAGATGTTATTAATGATAGCAGCAACTGTTCATATAATAATGATAATAATAATACTCCACTGTCTAACATTCTAGTTTATAGTTACACTGGTATCCATCCACAGATAGATCATATATATATATATATATATATATATATTACAAAGATGGACAACACGTCTCCACTCCCTCCCACCATCCACAAATGTAGCCAAAATATCACGGGTATGAACGCAGCCATCTTGTGCATTTGGAGCCCGGGTCTGTGCAGTTGGAATCGGGGGAGGGAGCTGAGGTAGTGAGGTCAACATGCTCAATCAAGGGTCAGACTCAGCTTGTTTCACCCAATTTTTATAGCATCAATTCACTGATTCAAATAACTGTGAAAACAAACAGTTGAAAAAACATCATTGTGATAAGAACTACCGAAAATGAAAATAAATGTTTGCTTTATATTGTTTATATTATGTATTACGTTACTGTGTAGCTCCGTGTCTGTAAGAGAGGAACATCACAAGTGGTTTCTTCCTGCTCACAGAACAACAAGCACTTCTCCCAGTAGACCACATGCACCTCACTCAGATTTAACCAATGCAAACATCATTTTCTTTATGGGAAAAATCTTATATGTGAAATCCTGTTGCACTGCATATATTCCGTTTTCATTGTATTAATTATTTCCAGTCTATATTCTTTGTGTTTATATTGAATGTTTAGTTAATTATTACTTTTGCTGATGTTTCCATTTTCACTATTCCCTTTGTGGCTGTAACATTTCCCCACAGTGTGATCACGGGATTATTATATCTTGTCTTCATGAATTAAGAATTCTTTTACTAGGAGTGGTGTTGTGGACATTTTTTTTAAAGCTTTATTCTTGCTTCCCACCATGAACATCTTGGCAGCAAATGTCATAATGTGTCTAGTAGACTCATGAAAACAAAAAGGATTACAATATTGTTATAAAAGGTTAAATTGACACAGTTTGCACATGCAGTTTCTTTCAACACACCTAAACCAAGACATCTAACTGGAATATAATGTCTAAAATACTATCTGAGGCATGATATCATGTGCATTCTTAAACTCTGTATGTTCTTCATTTGACTTTTAAATTGTTCTTACAAAAAGGACTGTGATAACTCTACTGGATCTTATTTGGTTATCAAACCAAGCAATTTTCCTGCTTGACTAGTATGGCCAATCGGTTTTATGGCCTGTGTCTTCCCCATGTTAAGCACTTAGTAACAAAGTCACCATTGTGTTTCTGTGAGATCTGCATTGTTCCGTTATTCAAACTGTCTAATATTCCCAGCAGAGATGGACTCAGGATGTGTCTACAGTAACACTGAATACGTTAGGCCATGTATCTGTGTCGAACCTGAATAAGGCCGACCTCGGTAAAGATGAGTGACATGTGTCTACAGAAACTCGGAATATTATTCATACAGAGAATATAAAATGTATGCTCCATAGAGATGAATAAAGCCAGTGAAAGTGATAAAGATCATGAGAAAGAATCCAAAAATCTAGAGCAGGCTGGGAAATGTGTCCTGGAGTCGGGCCGGTCTTTGTCCCCTGTGTCGTCAGATCTCTGCACAACTGGATGAGAGTCTTTTCTGCTGATGAGCGCAGCAGTTCCCTCCAAACACATGACAAAGATGGGATTGTGCAGCTCTGTGGGTGGGTGTGAGTGCAGAGCAGATTCACACACAAGTAGCTGTGTACATTTCTACATGCCACAGTTCATCACACATTATTGAACTGTAACCACAGTACAAGGATAAAATTACTCTGGAACCAGAAAAAGAATCAATATTATGGCATGTAAAGACAAGTTGAGATGGGTCATTACTTGAATATAATCTATGACATCTATAAATCTGTCAGATTCGTTCTTTTATTTGTCATTGATGCAAACTGTGGGAAAAGGTTGATCCACGTGCAATTTTTTGTCTGCAAATATTTTATATATTTACATTGTGCTTCATGTGGACAGCCCAGTATTAGTATTTTTCAAATGATGCAGAATAAAACTCTAATACATCTGTAGTTAAGTCACTTAAAATCATCAAACTTTTATGAAAATTGATATTTGAAATTAATATCCAGAAAATAAAAGCAATAATCTGAATGAGTTGACTCACAAGAAAAAAAAAAACTTGTGATATATTATAATTATATCATAATTGCTCTGCACTTGGATGAGTGACACTTGGCACAGGGTGATATTTCCAACAGGGGCGACAGGAAAGACATGGACTGCAAGTCTGTGCAAGATGCAAGCAAGTGTAAACAAACTCAGAAGTGCTGACAAGAAAATACTCACACAAAAGAACAGCCACACAACCGTGTGAACGTGTCTGTGATCCACAGCCTCTGTAGCAACTGTGAGTATTCGTCATATGCAACAGGTTGGTGTTACAGAGCCGAGGAAGTCTTTGGTTTGTGCTGCTGTGTTCAGACTCTCCAGACTCATGTTCACTGCTAGAGTTGATGACGACAACAGAGTTGATGTGACACGTTGTATCACTGAGTGCTGGGATCATGAACTGCCTGGGGGGGGGGTCAAAATAAAATTGATCTCAGGTCCCCTTGGGTTTTTACAATCAGAAAAGCAGATCACCTCACTGCCACTAGGTGTCAGGAGTATCAAACACAAATCACATTTTTGGGATTTCAGAAACTTAATTTTATCTATCTCTTAAAAACAAAAGCATTTAAACAGCTTTTTTATGTTATTTACCTAAATTAGATTATTTTGAGTTAGCTATTACAACCCATTCCGACTACTGCAATTGCCTGTGTATACTGGATTATCTATTTAGAGAACTCAAGCCTGCTCAAAAACCCACTGCTTTAGACATTCTGTTAAAAATCTGAGAATTTCTTTAATTTTATTGCCCCACCACATATCTATAGTCGTCTACTGCTTTTCTTTTAAATGTCACGTGTATAAAAGAACCAGTGAAACCACTTTTGATTTTTATGCCTCTTAAACAGCAGAACAGACCTCTAGATATTAGAACGATCAAAATCTAAAGGTTTGTTCAAAAAGGAATTTAATACTTATCTTTTTTATCTGTCTTTTTTATCACTCCCTGATGTTTATTAGTTTTATTACATTAATCTAATATTATGAATGATTACTCATCGTTTTACTGTTGTATTGTTAATCTCATATGTTTTTGTGTTAATTGCTAATTGGACTACAGAATGTGTCAGACGAGGACTGAATTACAATTGCTGGTGAATTGCAACAAGTATTGAAAGCCTTGGTATATTCAAACTTAAAACTTTATTAACAGCTCAGAAAAGGTATTTTAACAGTAGGAAGCATGAGGACTAGTTCATTGCAATGAAATGTCTTCTCATGAAAAAACAAAGTTCTTCTACAAAATATGAAATCAGCTGCCAAATAGAAGTCTACAAGTTAAACCCAACTATATCCACACAAAATCTAAGCTATGACCAACTATAACCAACTAACAGTGTAACAGCATCAGTATCAACAGTGTAAACAAGTCTAAAAAAGAATAGTAGTGAAAGCATCAGATAAAAAAATATAGCCAAATCTTTGGAGATGTCAAAACTGTTTTGTTTTTGTAGCTTATATCAAATCAATTTTCATGTTCTTTCTTCGCCTCCTTGTTCTTCCTCACTTCTTCCAGCTTCTTGTCCTGTTTTTGTTTAAAAGACAACATTTTATTGTTTTTTTTCCCAAACATGAGCTGGAGTATGTTGGCACGACATTAGGATCTTTAGTTACCTTCTCCTTGAACTTCTCGTTGAGAGCTGCCATCCGTGCGCTGCGGTTCTCCTTGTTTGCCTCCATCTTTTGATTGATCTTCTCTTGCGCCATCTTGCTAAAGTTGCAGTTTTCCTCGAGGGCCTTCTGGATGACTTCCTTCTCGTGCTCTCGTTTCTCAGCCAAGTGTTTCAGCACATCAGCCTCGTAACTCTGACGAGTGACAAAATAAAACCTCTGTGGTAAGTTATCAGAACCTGAACATTAACCTACGTTACACTTCACCAATTTTGGTGTTTTTTAAAAGTTCAGTTCATGTAATTTGTACCTTGCGTCTCTCCTCAGCAGCCTCCAGTTTCTTCTTAATACCATCCAGTGACGTTTCCTTCTTTTTAAGAGGGGACAGTGGAAATTCCACCTTGGCGTCAGGAGTTGAGGGGCTCAGGATGACCTCAAACGCCTGACCTGAATTACGCTTGTTCAGCTCTTTCACTTGGATTCCTGTAAAACAGGGTGTTTAAGTGCATACTTGTATAAATGACAAACAATATCAGTTTATTTGTACTTGATGAATGACAAACAATAAACCGACAATCAACTGTTTAGAGATAGCTGATGAAACATATCTGCACTTGACTGTCGTCCTAACGTGTAGAGCCTCTGGCTTGTGAGCCTGTCCGTCTGGAAAATTAAAGGGGGTTGAGTTGGCCTCCCACTAACTTTTCAGGGGTCACTGCTTTGTCAGAGAGGTCAAAGACAGACAATAATCCTGCTGCGAGGCACCACGGCTGTATTGTTAATTAAGTGTTTGAGTCTGCAGAGACACAGCTGCTATTCTCTGCCCTACTTTTCAAGTTCTTTTAAGCAATTATAGTTTAAAGTAAGCAATTACTGTGTGGGTTTATGCTGGAATGAAAGTCAGATTAGGTTTATTACCTCTGTCTAAGAGGTTATATTTACACCTAAGATTGTTTGTTTGTATGTTTATTTGTCAGCAGAATTATACAATAACCCTATCTCCATCAAACCTGGTGGAGGAATGAGGCAGAGGTCTGGGAGGAACCAAATCAAATTGTGGCGTGGATGTGGATTTAGGGGTCGATCCAGGATTCTTTTTTTCACTTTCTTGAACATTAAAACATGGAGCATCATGAATCCTGTTTTTAAGAATCATGCATATATTTAGAGACATTGAGTACGTTTTCTAGAAAGAATGATGATTCTGTGTTGAGGATTTTATGGCCATTATTTGAATGTATTTCATATTGTTAGGACCCAAATGTTTTATTTTTTGTGTCAATAAATTAATAGCTACATTTAATAGTATATAATACTGTATTAAGTTTATATCTGACCAGATACAAAAAGTCAAGAGTAAAATATGTCACACTGATTTCATGATCACTGTTTAAGAATATGTTTTGTGACACATCATTTAGGTATACAGGTTTCTTTTATATTTCTGAAGGAGGCATGCACTCTACTGAGTGCCATTCTAGTTTTAAAGATTTTAAATTTAACTATCAGGGTTACGCTATCCACAGTCAGTAACTGTTTTATAACATACACCTACCTCCACAGGCTTCCATTTCAGCAGAAGTGTTGTCTTTAATACCTCTATAGACAATACAGAAAGAAAGTTAGCACCAAGCAATGCATGTCTCACAGTGGGTTTTAAGCATGTCCCTGCTGTCCCTCGGCAGGAGGAGCAGTGGACCATAGAAACAGCTCATGTTTTGACAGGTCATTGGTCAGGCATGCAGTATGACTTTAAAAGCTTTTCCCCAACTTTCCCTCCCGTTTGAGCATTATAGAATCAAACCAGGTATTATTTTGAGGTCACAAACACAAGTTAATACAATTTCTTCATCAGCTGAATAAGTCTGGGTAATGTATTAGGATGAGGGATCACACACGGGTGGATGCCATAGTTCATCATCTCTGCAGAAACAAGAATTGCACAGCCATGGGTGGCTGCTCCATAACTGCCATTATACAATCCCAACATTATATAATGTGTTCAGTTAACAGTCTATACACGTGACTTGACATGTCAGGTATTTTCCAGCTCCCAGCTACAGTGAGAGGGTCCAAGATGAGATGGAGTGGGTGGGGGTGCACACATGCATGTGTGTGTGTGTGTGTGATGGGGTGGGGTTACACACATGTGTACAAGAGACAAGAGACCTTATTAAAAACACATACAACTGAAAACTAAGGGGGAATTAATGGGGAAAGTTAATAATCAGTGTTCTTAAAGAAGACGAAAAACTATGTGAAGAAGGTGTGTGTTTGTTTTTGTTTCTTTTTTTTTATGGGGGAAGACATACAATGATGCACAGCACAACTCGTAAAAAACACACACAACTTAAAACCAAGGTAGAATTGACGAGGAAAATAAATAATTCGTGTGCTTTCATAAAATGGAACAAACCTAAATGCACCACTAAAGTAATGTAGCGTAATGTAAAGTGATATAGTGTAATGTAAAGTAAGATAGTAGAATTAAACATTATTACACAATACTAAGTGAAAACAACTTCAGTCAGCTACACTTGGTGTTAATTCACGTCTTGGCTTCCAGTTTTTAAGATGCTTTCAAAGTTTACTGCATTTTTATGTAGCGGCAATAACAACAAAGTGAACGATCACTGCCTCCCACAGTTGACTTCAGGGAGGCAGAGGAGGGTTAATAATGGCGAGGAAGCAGCCTCAGACTCCAGCTGCTCTCTGTCTGAGAGCCTGTTTAAACATTTACACAAAAGCTTTGTCCTCACCGTCAAGTGCGATGATCCCACTTCAGTTCTCCGGGTCCTCTGGTTCAGACCCTCAGACCCTCAGACCGCCAACATCTGCACCTTCGCGCACAAATACACTGACGTCACGCAGGATGTTTACATTCATTGGTCTGAATCCACCAATCAGAGTCAGGCTAGAGGCTGTGCGCGCCAGAACCTGCGGATCAAATGAACACGGACACACGTGAGGCACGAGCTCATGGTGGTTCGAGCGAAAACAAGCTTGTTTAACGAGGCTTATATAACCGACAGTGTGTCAGCTACTCATCAGACTGAGGTGTGATCATACACATGTTATACAGAGAGCTTTACTGTGAGACTGACTGCAATAATATCACAATAACAACTGTACATATAATGATATAAACCTTATCCATACCACTATACTGCACTTTTCAAAGTAGATAGATAGATAGATGGATATTAATATGACAATAATACTAACATAAATCCATGCCACTATTAAACAGTTTTTCTATAATCATACTAAAAAAAATAACAAACAAATGCTGACAAAAACATAACCTCCAATACACACAAAACTACCAGTGCAGTAGCAAAAATACTCAAATGCAAGAGAATTCTTGAGAGTTCTGCATTTCAAATTTGAGGGACCTTCATCGAAGGGAAAACAACTAACCCCTAACCCTGAGAGAATACGCCAATATATGTGTGAATCCAACGTGTTTTAGATCTGTCTCCTATGAAGACGATAGGAGGAGAGACTGGAGGGTTCAGTCAGGCTCAGCAGTTGATGCCACCATTACTCACTGGCTTATACCAAACATGTCGGCAGTTGGTAGTGTGAAATTTGCTTACAATGGTAGTTTAGTGTGTGTGTGTGTGTGTNTGTGTGTGTGTGTGTGTGTGTGCGTTTGTGTGTGTGCGTTTGTGTGTGTTTATGTATTCTTAGAGCACCAGTATTTTAATAGATTTAAATTTTACTCTAGATTTGATAAAAATGCATTGAGTATATTCATTGACAGACATTAATCTCAGTTATGCAAACAGAACCTCTTAATTTATCCTAACCAAAAATAGAAAGTTTGAAATGGCACAGATGGTTTGACATTACAAAGGATCTTACTTGAATTTAACTTCTCTCTTGTGGATCCAGTGACCAGATGCTTCTGTTGAAGAAACTCACCCTCTAGTAATGAGAATAACTCATAAACAGCTCTCCTAGATTAGACGGCTGCTGCTGCTGCTGCAAGCTGCTGGTACAAGGTTATTGCTCATGTTGAGACATGCAATATTAAATCACAGAGAGACTATGTCCCAAAATGTCCCCTGTATGTGAATCCCTCCATTTCATGACGTTGATATTATTTGTAGGCGACTTTTAAAAGGATCAGGTCAAAAGTGTGCCCAGTATTTCTTCTGTGTCAGGAGTATGTAAGAATAACATCTACATTTTTCTGTGACACCTGTGAATTACACCCTGCCTAAGCTTTTCTTCTTTTGCTGTAAAATTGTTCATATGTGAAAGTATAATGCATTAAAACTCATTAAAATGAATAGTTGTTCTAGTATATAAAATAATGGTTCAATGCTGCTACCTAGTGTAGGACTGAGGAATCAGCATAACAAAAAAATTAAATGCCCAACCACTTGATGTCTGTTTAATCCACATAAACATTGCTATTAAAAGTAAAATGTAATACATTAACAACATCATAAAAATGTTGTCAGAAAAACCCCTGTGTTGAACAGTATGTTGCAGAGATCACTTTGTGTTTTGTGGTTATATTTAGACTGTATTAATATTCTAAGAGAAGGGAACAAATGTCCTGAAGTGCTTGCCACCACCAAAATATTGTTTTTAAACTGAAAGTGTTTGACAATGTATAAATGTATGACAATGTATGAGTGTGAGATCATGTGTGACCCAATTAACAGATACAAATAACTGATGTTCCTTCTTTACTTTTTTCATTTATCACATCATGGACGTGATGTTTTGTGAGTTGATCTGCAAGGGTTGGATTCAATCTCAGAAAGATATACTTTGTTGGTGACTTTTTCTCATTTCTAAACACAATAAAGCTTTGGCTTAGTCCTACTTGCAATTAAATCAAATGAGTATTTGCCATTTAAATATTCGGGTTAGGTTTAAAAGGGGACTATTAATAATCCAAACACTGTTGGACCCCTGTCATGTTGGTGCACTTCAGCAGCAGGGGCTTTGAGGAGGCTTGATTCAGCACCTGACTGACTCTTTCTCTTTATTTCCCTGTAGTTTTAGACAACGGACAATACAATCCTGAAAAGCTGAATGAGCAGATGGTCCCCACATTTATCCATTGTTTGCCGAGAACAACTCTTTTTGAATTGAAAAGTGTAACACAAATGTAATTCATTTACCACACAAAGCTGCATGGATTTTATGTTCCATTCAATTTCTATTGTACAGCGCCAAATCATTGCATACTTTACATTATCCCAAGGCACTTTACATATAAGGTCCCTATAAGAGACCTTACAAATTTATATAGAAACCCAACAGTTCCCACATCAATGAGCAGCACTTTGGCGACAGTGGAGAGAAATACTCCCTCATTAACTGGAAAAACCTGACACAAGGTGGACGAGAGACCAGGAACAGTTGTGTTATAGACTGGTTGTTAAAATGAAATAATGAGTGACATTTATCGATGTTATGAAGTTATAAATGATAGTAGCACCAGTTGTCATAATAATAATAATAATGTGCTTATAAAACCTTTCCTTTTCGTCCCACTCACATTTACTTGTCTTGATTGCACACTACTTGTATGTAGCTTTGTGATGAAATGTGAAAACCTACAGTCGCCGAGAGAGCTCAATGCACTGCAAATAGAAGAAAACTCACATGCAAATAGTAAAATCATGTGCACGATAACAAAACAACTTGATCAATGTGAAGACATAAGTCACAACACGTGCCCCTGGAGACATTTACGCTGTCGTTCTCGCAGTGTACAGCCGCTTTCTGTATTTGCTATGTGTTTAGTTGTTTTGCATGTTGTGCTCTTTCTTTTTCTCATTTGCATGTTTTCTTTATTGGCAGTGCGTTGAGCTCTGTCGGCCGCTGTAGAAAACCTTTATCTTGAAACCCCACAGAGCTGCTTCCGGTTTCTTGTGTTTGCAGTGTAGACAGATGATCTCATAGTATTTTACAGGAAAGCGAAACGCGTCGGTACAGAGACACTAACTCAACATTCAGATTTCAAAATGGGGGCTTGTCTGGCGCTGTGCTCTTTAGCCAGCTGTGTAAGTACCTGATGTTTCTACACGTGTGGTTTTCCACATCACCGGAAGGCTGTTGTTTCTTCTTGTTGCCTTAACGTTAGCTGTTAGCTGTTAGCTGTAGATGGGACGGCTAACCTAAGAGATAGTTGGGTTTGGCGACAACTAGGTGACAGCTAACCTGAACTACTTCCATTAATACTAGCTGGGAAGCTAACCAGACACAGTTGTAATGCTAGAAACGTTAAGAAGGGTGGATTAGCTAGCTGGTGACTCACTGAGGTAAATAAAGAGGAAGTGTCAAAATAGGCCAACGTCTTAAATGTAGGTTTGTCTAGTTTGTGTAGTTCCACTGACGCTACTAAGTTGTTACACAACTCAAAACATACAGTAGCGTCATTATAGCATTAGATCGGTGAGCTAGGTCAATGTCAACATTGACATTAAGTGTGTGTGTGTGTGTGTGTGTGTGTGTGTGTGTGTGTGTGGCCAGAGTTACATTTCCTTACTGTGATACCAATATAACATAAAACATTAGGTCTGTGTTAGTTTAGATTGTGTATAGATTATGCACTGTTATAATTAATCATCTTTCCAACCCAGTATGCATAATGGAGCCGTGAACATATTTGTGATTGTCACAACAACAGGGCAATAATACATTAGAAATAATTATCCCAAGTTGATTTTCATCAGCAGCGAAATGGCAGAAGTTGCTTGTGCAATATGCAAGTGAAGCGAGGAGGTATTACACATAAATAATCGACCGTCAAAGTGTAAAATGTTTTAATGTTTATCAAGTTAATTTTTGTACTGCACATCTAAAACTACTACCATATACTACTACTACCAAAGTGCTGAGCAGGCTTAAAATAAGAGTAAAAAAATGTTAGAATATATATATAAAAACTGAAAATAGATTTAAAAAAATACAAAAGCAATAAAACATCAGACGTCATAAATAATTGATCATTAATATATTGAAGTATAATAGATAAAATCAAGGTTTCATTATCAATTAAAATTGAAAGCCAGTGAGAAGTGGGTCTGAAGCACTGACTTTTTCAAGTTTCAAGGGTCAGAGAGGTTTTAATATGAATAGCTCTACACTTTAAACTTCAATGAAATATCAATGAGATATTTATCGTGGTAATAATCAATATTGACTGACATGGAATTTTTTATCTCGGCCACTTTTGGCATATTGACTAATCCATTTAACATTGCCTCATTTTCAAGTCTGTCTTGCTCAAGGCTGTTTCTTTGTTTTTCTCTGCCCTCTCTTACAGGCCTCCTGTCTGTGTGGCTCAGCACCATGTCTTCTGTGTGGCTGCTGCCCCTCCTCCAATAACTCCACCATCACACGGCTGGTTTTCTCCTTGTTTTTGCTGATGGGGACAATGGTGTCTGTCATCATGATTCTTCCTGGAATGGAAACAGAGCTCCGCAAAGTGAGATCAGTGTAGATCAGTATACATACATAATTCACTAATATTTGATCGGAGTGTGGAAGTAGTAGCAGTGGCATTTCTAAATTATATTATAATGCAGTTATGCATACAGTAAAAGCAGGATATCTTTGATAGATTCTGCTACTGTCACTTTACAGTGATATTTGCTTAGAAACCTGCACTCGCATATCTTTTGGGTGTTTTTACATGTTCTTGATTAAGCTTACTTAAGTTAATTTGATCTGATATGTTTGTGTTTCCATAGATCCCAGGATTTTGTAAAGGAGGTGCTTCTATAACTGGTATTGATAACGTGGCTAACTGTGACGTCCTTGTGGGCTACATGTCTGTGTACCGGATGTGCTTCGCTATGACCTGCTTCTTCTTTATGTTCTTCCTAATCATGATTCGTGTCCGTAGCAGCAAAGACCCACGTGCAGCTATTCAAAATGGGTAAGTATTTGACGGGGCTCATTATGTAAGGATGGAGGCAGGTCTGCTTTACTGATGGTGCAACTATTTCTTTTCCAGGTTCTGGTTCTTTAAGTTTCTGATCCTGGTTGGGATAACAGTAGGAGCTTTTTTCATCCCCGATGGAGAATTTCATACTGGTACTAACATTCTCTGATGATTTTCAATTAAAGATAAAATACTTCCACAATTTCTCGGCAAACAGAAGCTTTGATTTATCAGTGATTGGATAGTGTTTATGGTATATATAGTGATATGGTAATCCTGGTCAACTGTTTGAAGAAATACTCTGACCTTTGTCTTTTTCCTTTTCACTTTTCAGTGTGGTTTTACTTTGGATTGGTTGGATCCTTCATCTTCATCATCATCCAACTTATTCTCCTCATCGACTTTGCCCATTCCTGGAACAAGGTGTGGGTAGGAAATGCTGAAAACAGTGACAACAAATGCTGGTTTGCAGGTAAAGCATTCCATTGAAAAGAATCATTCACTTGTCATAATTTGTCAAATAGTTAATTGTACATCATAGATGATTAGAAGGTAGATCTTCTCTGCCTTCCATGTCAGTAAACCTTTTTTTTATTACTGTGGTTCAAACATATTCCTGTTAATGTATAATTGTGCAAATTACAGGCCTGTTGACTTTCACCTTCCTCTTCTACGCCTTGGCGGTTGCTGCTGTGGTACTTTTCTATGTGTACTACACACAGCCTGATGACTGCACCGAGCACAAAGTCTTTATCAGCCTCAACCTTATCTTCTGCATCATGATCTCAGTTGTCTCCATCCTTCCCAAGATACAGGTACTGTATCATGAACACAATAATTCAAATACATTTGAAAACGTTTTTTTCCTGTTTTTTGTTTTAATCCAATTATAGGCTCCTTTTTAAAATAAATATTCCTCGATAATTCCACTTGAATAGTCACCAGTGTAAAAATATCCAATGTGGGGAAAACCTTTCTTTATCTACAAACCTTTCTTTATCTACATCTCACTCCTGTGGTTGTAATTTATTATAATAATTCCAATTAATAGATAATGTCATCAATTTGTATATATGCGGTAAGAAACCTTTGGTGTAAATTACATAGCACTCATATTTGTTTTCATTTAACTGTATATTTCAGAAAACAATCTTAAAACATTGTTGCACTGTTGTGAATAGAACACCACTGAAAGGAAAGTGGTGTTTTCAAAATTACTAGTGATTGAGTGGATGGAATGTTTGTTCTTGCTAATTTATCATTTGAGGATTTTTCAGTCATCAGAATGTTGCATAGCAAATGAAACCTCTGTTCCACAGCTTTATAAATGATTCCTTAGTCTCAGTAATTGAGTAGAAGTACAGTTAGCTACTTCAACAATGTCTTGACCACAGTACAACGTTAGCACGTTTTTTGTCATTTGTAAATCCTGTCCTTTTGAGTTCACAAAATATTTTTGGAGCAAACAGTCTCTAAGATGTCTATAACAGAACACAAGTAAGCTGCTGTGACGTCAACCATGCTCCAGCATGGAATTTTAAATAGCCAGTTCTTCTTTCACTAGTTTCCACAAAATGTCCATCACATGCATTTGTTCCACTTGTTATGAAGAATTCAGTTTTTATTGTGGCTTTGGTTTCAGTTTTAAAGCATGAAACATGCTGAAGGTGTGTAATACTTTGACCTGTTTGTTGCAGGAAGCTCAGCCACACTCTGGTTTGCTTCAGGCTTCTCTCATCTCCCTCTACACAATGTATGTCACCTGGTCTGCAATGACCAACAACCCAAGTGAGTCTCCTGTCTCGTTTTATTCCTCTGTAGCTTCTGGTTTCATGCTCTGATTTCTTCACATATATGCTCTTTACCTGCCTCAGCATTTTCATACAGGTGAGTTTCCCACGGCATGCCATAGGAAGTAAAAGGAACTTTATTTGCTATCAGTTAGAACACCTCCTTGTCTCATGTTGTGTGATCCGCCTTTCCCAAATGAATGGCAACAGTGGCTTTTGCTGACTGTAGGGCTAGTATTCAGTTGCCATTTGGTAGACTTCACAATTGCTGTCCTACATTAGCTTAACTTTTATATATACAAGTAGGCATCTGAGCTCTATTCACACTTGATATTTGAAATAGGCCTATCAGCCACAACATGAAAACAGGTAAGTGGGTTTAATGTCGTGGCTGATCGCTGTATTTCCTCATTGGAAGAATCAAGAATCAATGTGGAATGCAATTGTCCAAATTAAAAATCCCTGTATCTACCCATTTATCCTGATCCACACCCAAAAGGGTTCTTCTGTTTTTTTTATACAAAGTTTTATGGAAATCAAATTTCTTTCAGCTTTTGAGTAATCCTGCTAAAAGACAAACAAACAAACCTCCTTAACACAGGCAATAATGTATTTTCTCCAACCAATTTTAGTGTAGTAAAATGTCTAATCCTGTGCGTATGTGTATTTTGTTTTAGATCGGAAGTGTAACCCCAGTTTGTTGAGTCTCGTATCGAACGTTAGCACCACTGAACCATCTGGTGATAGCACTCCAGAACAGGTGCAGTGGTGGGATGCTCAGGGCATTGTTGGTTTAATCATATTCCTCTTCTGCACCATCTATGCCAGGTAGGTTTAGCAGTGTATATTTTATGCTCACTTTATGTATAATTAAATTGTTTTACATACTTTTTTTACAACATGTTTAAACTACTTTTGATCAACTGTCTCTCTGCCTCTCCCCTAGTATTCGTTCATCCAGTAACACCCAGGTAAACAAGCTGATGCAGACAGAGGAGGGCGTAGGGTCGGGTGGAGAAGGTGTGGTGGGAGAGGACGGCATACGCAGAGCCCTGGACAACGAGGAGGAGGGAGTCACCTACAACTACTCCTTCTTCCACTTCCACCTCTGTCTGGCCTCTCTGTACATTATGATGACTCTCACCAACTGGTACCAGTAAGTGTCTCTCCTCAACACATGTTACCTCTGTTGAATAGTTTGTATTTCAACCCAACTCAGTTTGTTTGTTGGTTGGTTTATTTGTTTGATTACACAAAAACAACTGAATGGATTTCCACAAGGATCCATGAGGTATGGGTTTCATGCATTGTAGGCCTTAGCTATGAACACTAGAGGGCACATTACTTCACCTTAAAGTTCTCTCACTCTTCAGCTTTTATAAATAGATAAAAAAAATGATCTACCACAGTTCTCTCTGATCTTTAGAGGGAAGATATTAGTAGATTAAGATCAATACATGTATTATGTGGAGTTGGTTTTTAAATTGCATTTCTCCCACTGCGTCCTCCCCCAGACCTGCCACCTCCACCCAGGCCATGAAGAGCAGTATGCCGGCTGTGTGGGTGAAGATGTGTTCCAGCTGGCTGGGTCTTGGGCTTTACCTCTGGACCCTCATTGCCCCTCTCATCTTCCCCGACAGGGATTTCAACTGAGCATGGTTTGTCTTTGGGCTGTTTGGTTCTTTTTTGTTTGTTTGTTTGAATTTATTTTCTTATCCGGTACATATGGCCTTGTGAAGGATGCTATAAAAGACAGAGGAAGGATATTATAAAGGAAAGAATTAACATTTCAAATAATTTAATAATTAATAGATTTTGTGACGCCACGGTTTCCCTGAGTATTGTAATCACTGCAGATGTTTTAAAGTTTGAGTGGACTTTTAGTTAGCCTGTTTTGATGATGATTTTAACTACAATAAGTCACCTTGATAGGCTAACCAGACTCTTTTCTGCCTGATGTTGTATGATTGTATAAGCTTGCTTATAATTTCGCTGAATTTAAGTTACTGGACTATCACAAAGACTCAGCAACAAGGCACTTTCTCAATACCTCAGACGTTTCAGTTACAGATTCCCTTTTGGAGGCCCATGAGTTCTCTGATTGGCCGAGTCTGAAGTCCTCCTGATTAGCAGGACTCCTACAGTACTGGGACAACCAGGGTAGCCCTCCACAGGAGCCCCTAAGTGAGGCTGAGTGTGAGCATTAGATAAGACTAGTAGGACACACCCGACAGATCATAACAGGGTTTCCCCTTTGCTGCTACGCTGTACTTAAAGCCATGTCACTGCACCTTGTGCCAGAGGGCCCTAATAATAAAACAGTCTAATCTCAGCTCTTCCTTGCCGACTTCAATCTAAGGTCATTTAACTGCGGTGCTTTGCCTCTCCCTGTCTGACTGTGTTCAGCCCTGTGCAGCCACGGCATCAATCTGTACCTGTGTAGCTGCTTGTTTGCAGGAGAGAGACATGTATTGATCCAAAGCAGTCAGCATCATGCGATGTGCAGCGAAACGGTTGAGGAGGTGATGGCGTGAACTCCACATCACCTGTGCTCTCACGAATGACATTATTTCCAGAGTGCTGCTGAGCACACCATGAGTTCAGTGACGAGAGATTTTCAATGTTGCAATGTAAAAAACAATAAGAAAACATTTCAGAAATAATACGTTGCTGTTAAATGGTATCGAGCTTCATAGTATGTTAATGGTAGTAATGATGGTACAGTCAGTCCATGCATTGTATAGTAGTTACCTCAATTTCCTCAATTTCAATATGAATGGTGAAAAAGTATATTTTGTACTTGTGAAAAAATGATTTTGGTACAATCCTGAAAATACTAGGCTTTGTCTGTGTTATGTTGGTTTCAACATGTCAACTCCCACACACACATACACAAATGAGATTTCCTGTTTCTCTGGCTGCATGTGGATATTGTGAGTGTTATGATTAATTCTTTTTTATGTTAATTATTTTATCAAATTCGTCAAAAGTATTTCACATTTTACCACTATTGCCCCAGTAAGAAATGTATTTGTGTCAGATCATGACATATTTCAAAACACTATTAAGTGCCTTTTTGTAGTCCTGCATTTCGAAAAAGAAATATCACTAATGCTGACGTGTTTGCTATGCCTTGCCTTATACATTGTTGTTAGTCATTATATTCTATGCTGTAAGGAGGCATGAATTATTGCTGTAATTAATGTATAATTCTCTTTTTTAAATAAAGAAATCTTGAAAATGTTTTAAGTTTTTTAGTATTCTTAGCATTTCTTTGACATATTTCATGGAACAACACTGTTGAATAAATGAAAATTAAGAATAAACCTACAAAATAATTTAATTAAAACATCACATAAGTTACGTTTTTTTTACATTTGATCACATTTTACCAAATATGAGATGAAATATTAATGTTTATTTAAGGTGCTTTTGAGTTTATTGTACTTAATATCTCTTTATTGGTCAATATGGATTACTAGACAAAACTTAAGTGTTAAAATGTACATGTCCTGGCCCTTGTTGCTGCTCCTACAACAGACTTTACTAGTGCTTACAGCCTCTACTGTGTTATTTCCTTCTTGCCTGGCTGGTGCACAAGACATGTTGATTTTGGCTCCTGCAGTCACTCAGTCCAGTTGGCACTGTCTGTAACCGTTCAGCACACACTGCCTCCTGTCGACTTCCACTCCTCCCACAGCACCACCCCTCGCTCTGCCTGTCTGTGACAATCCTGAGTCGATGGATTGTGTCACAGTGGAGTTGTGAGACTGAAAATGAAGACATAGAAAAACACCATCGGTGAGATGACAGCGACTTCAGATGAAGGTAGACATACATACACTAAATATTTGTCAGTAATGCATAATGTTGTGTCTCAAAAAAGGCTTCATTTAAACAGGTAAAGCAATGATGCAAATTATGCAAAACAAAAGCAAAGAACACAATGAACCAATAAGGTGTGCCATGACAAACACTCCTTATTTTTCATCACTGAAAGTCACAAGCCCAGTCTTTATATAAATACCTGGACTGGACCTGTTGTGCAGCAACACTCCACATCGCCTGAATGTTTTTACAGAGATGAAGTTCTGGCTTGTGTCTTTGCACCAGTGACACTTGGTTTCACTTCATGGGTCAGAGTCTTACAGAGGAACGAGGGAGCGGGGGGGGTTCTTCAAATCTCTGCTGTTTTGATATAGATTTTTATAATAAGTCTCTGTCTTTACTCTTCAGAGAACTGCCTTACTGTTGTGAACTCACCTCTTACTCCATAAAATCTCTATAATTGTTGTAAGCACCAGACTGAGTTTTATGAGACTCCTCCAATATTTGAAATTTAACAACCTCTGAACGCCTCTTATCATCAGATAAACAGATGTGAACTGGATTTTTCTCCTGTGGTGGATTTAAGACACCTTCCATCTTTAGCTGGTCTTGGCCATTGGCAAGGGTGTCATAAGTCCAACCCTCATTTCCTCTGTTATCTACCAATGCAATTTGTCGCTGTAATAAGAGATCATTGGCTGTAATGTTCTGATTATGAACAGCTTCATTTGGCTCAACACCCTTGCATGGACAGACATCCTGAGATTTTTGATTGCAGAGTGACTGAAACAATAATTATCACTCGCAGTGTTTTATCCCTGGTCTTAGCAGGGACATGTCAGCATTAGGCTTCGTTACCTTGTCAAGAATAAGGTCACTCTCTACATTGGTCATCACAATATTTCAGCTTTGTCTTCATTGTGACACTAAATGAAGCGTGAATGGTGCCGCTGTGGAGTCAGAACTGCTCCTGATACCACTTTGGATCATTCTTTATTCGGAGAGGATTATGCATCCATCCATGGCCACCTCTTTGACAGAATGCCTGTCCGAGGTGTAATTGGGTTTTAAAAGTGAGATCCAGGCCCATGAGATTATGTGCTACATGCAGGGGAGCTAATTGAGTTTGGGCCCTGCTGGCATACTACACGTGCACTGAAAAGATTTACCCAACATTAAGCCCCAATTAGGTGTTTCAGGATGGGGGACTTGTTGCTGGATGATGAAGAGGAGAAGATGCTGATACCTGTCAGTCCTATTGTAGTTTGTCTCCTGTTCTAAACAAACTGCTTGTTTATAATCAACTGCTGAACTTCAACTGGCCTATTCTCATTTTTCTCACTTACTTCCACCCTGTCTCTGGCTGCAGTGCAATGCAGTCAGGCTGTCCTAAGCTGAAAAAGTCTTAGAGTCTGTGTGTGTTTGTGAGTGTGTGAGGTGGGGGTGGTGGTGGTGGTGGAGGGGGGGGTGCTGTCTTGTGCGCATGCTCTCACCCAGCTCAGAGGAGCAGCTAATGCAGTTATATAACAGTCAGTGCAGCCCAGCGTCTGCTGTGAGCCAGGCCAGTCTGGTTACATAAGCCTGTCAGAGTCATATTGTGGCAGCACAGAGCGCTCACACCACAGCATGTCCCTGCACTCCTTCCACCATGTCTCTCACTTCCTCCCACTGTCAATCCCCGCTCTCCTATCCTCTCCTCACCTTCCTCCCCTCGCACTTTCCCTTCCCTTCCTTTTCCTCCTTGCTGCGGCGCTGTTCTCAACACAGGGAACAAAGAGTTATCGTGCTGGATGCAGATGCAGGCCTTAAAGTATGAGACAAAAAAAAAAGTGGGAGTAGCTGTATGCTCATATGCAAGGAGGACAAAATGGCAGTTATTGCACAGAGGGTTTTCCTCTATAAGATATCATGAAAGGTGTGATTCAGTAGCTGGGTGTTCCAGTGTCCTGAGAGCTTTCTTCCTCCATGGGCTACCTGTGTGCCACGACAGCGATGTGAGCTGGGAAGATGAGGCGTGCTGACAGTCGGCCACCACCTCCAAGCTCTGATGTCCACTGGCCTTTCGAGCACCATTTGATCTCCAGGGTACTGAGGCACATGCACAGTCACAGCCCGGCCTGCTGCCTCTCTCACTGACCTTTACTGCGTCTGACCCTCATCACTCAGGTGTGACGAGGTCAGACAGACAGGTCCGCTGGATCAACAGGGAAATGTTCTCTGAGCACTGAAACGTGTGCAAAAGAAATATTGCAAAAAGTCCGCCTGCTGCAGTTCACATGGTCATCTGGGAGAAGTTAATAGATTTGTGGCCTCGGATCCTGACCTCCATTATATTTCTCCTGTATGTGACGCTATGTCAGCATTACCTTAGGTTGGCTATATTGTTGGGGTATAAAAGGAGCTGAAGGGTGTTTGGTGGTAGAAAACTTTAGTAATGATAATAATAAACTTGATTTATGCAGCACCGTTCAAAACACAAAGTGTTTCACATAGTAGACAAATAAAAACAACAACAAAACATTGACACAAGCAAATGAATACAATAATATTGTTAATTTATATATATATCTTTATATTGTTCCAGTAAACATCCTTGTGTGATCATCCTGTGCCACTGCACATTTCTCTCAAACATTATATCTGCAGTTAATGTGTACATTTATATATGTGTTTTGATTTCATTTTTAGATTTATATTGGTTATTGTATTCTCTCGTCTGACTGCCTGCTGCTGTAACAAGTTTCACCTTTTCTCTTATTTTATCCTGAGATGTAACAATCTCAGTAACTCACATCATCACCCTCTTCTCTCCTTCTCTTCATTTAAGCCCCTGCATGAGGTTTCCTGTCTGATTGGAAACCAGCAGCATTAACCAGGAACTGCTGACTCCAGCCAATCGCTGGCTCCGGCGCCTCATGAATATTCACGGAGGGACTCGGCGCGTCACCCCACTGGTGGAGGCCGG